GTGTCCGGGCATCACCGTGCCCGGGGCGGCATCACCGTGCCCGGGGCAGTATCACTGTGCCCGGGCATCGCCGTGCCCGCGCTCTCCTCTTGCAGGCGGCGTGGGCACGCTGAGACCCGACGGGGTGAGCGCGGAGGCTCCGGTGCCCTGGTGAGTGCGGGCCGGGCCGGGGATGATGCGGGTCGGGCCGGAGGCGATGCGGGGGTGATGCGGAGCCGCCAGAGCTGCCGCCGCTTTGTGTCGCAGGGACGGGGCCGTGGCCGATTACCGGGACGCGCCGCGGGACAGCGGGAACCGCGCGGTGAGAGCGTGTCCCGCATCGCTCCCTGCTCCGGGGAGGAACGAGGGGAAGCGCCCCGTAACCTCCCGTGCCGGGTTTTTGTCCTGCATCGCTCCCTGCCCCGGGGAGGAACGAGGGGAAGCCCCCCGTAACCCCGTGCCGGGTTTTTGTCCCGCAGGGAGACGCTGCCTGTGACAGGAAGGGGGGTCCCGGCGCTGCGGTGCCAGGTGGGTGCCCGGGGGTGGGTTTGGGTTCGGGTCAGAGGGTCCCAGGAGGTCCCCTGTGCCAGGGGGCTGCTGTGGGACGCCGTGACAGCGACAAGAGGGGAAGCAGTGGGATAAGACGGCTTTGCTTGCACACGGGTGGGTCCAGGGCGCAGCAAAAAAACCTCCACCAAACCTGATTTCTCTCTCAAGGGGAGGCTCAGAGCTGAAAGGACCTTTGCTCTTCCCCTCAGGAGCAGCTCCCGCAGGGTCCCAGGACCCCCCCTCGGTGAGGCTCTGGTCCGATTACCTCAACGTGCCCCTGCATCCCCGGAGCGTCCACGTGATCCGGCAGTACCTGCACGATGGGTACGGCCCAGCCCTGCCCCGGGAACCTCTTGGCCAGAACAGGAGTTGTGCCTTCAATGAACAATTCAGAGGGCTTGGAATAAGCTTTTTCCCTCCCCGCCCCCCATTTTTTCCCCCAGGGATTGTGGTTGTCTGGAAGCCTTTGCACAAGGGGAAAGTCTCCTGCAGGATCCCGCCTGCCTGGAGGAGCTGGAGGATCGGCTGCACTTCTTTGTGGAGGAGTGTGATTACCTGCAGGTTCACAGCCCAGGCCAAGCTCCTTTTGCTGTCAAGAAGCCTCTTGCTCAAGATTAATATCTGAGGTGCTGCCCTCGTTCCACGCAGGGGTTCCAAGTCCTCTGTGACCTCCACAACGGGTTCTCGGGGGTTGGTGCCAAGGTGACAGAGCTGCTCCACGACGAGTACTCGGGGAAGGGAATCCTCTCCTGGGGCCTCACTCCGGCCACGAGTGACGTGGGAGTAAGTAAAGACCAAACCCCAAGTAACATGGGAGTAAGTAACCCCAAACCCTGGGGAGAACCAAACCCGGGTGGTGCTGCCACACCCGGCCTGGGGCTCCTCTGCACCTTTAAGATTCCAAAGGTTGGATTGTTTTTTTCCCCCCCTCCCAGGATCCTCAGAACAGTTTTTACAGGCTGCTGAACACGGCCCTTGGCATCGTCCACCTCTCCCAGCACAGCTCCCTCTTCTGCCCTCTGTCTCTCGGCGGGAGTTTGGGAATCAGGCCACGACCTCCTGTGACATTTCCCTACATAAAATACGATGTAAGTCCTGCTCGTGCAGCTTCACCCCCTCAGAGTGTTTCCTGCAGCCCTCTGCTTTTAGTGGTGCTTTTCCATGGTGCTGTTGTGCTCAGCAGAGACTCTTTCCTGCCTTTTCACTGGCACTTGGCTTCCAACTTTTCATTTCCACAGCTTTTTCCTACTTTTGAAAACATTACCACGCTTCCTTGGCTGCTGTGCTTTGTCAGTGTGTTGGCACTGAAAAAAGGGTTTTACTGCACCATTCTCAGTGCCTGGAGTAACTCCAGGAGTTACTGGAGCCCCAGGAAGCTGCTGACAAGAAAACTGGCACCAGAGTATTTGTTAGGAAAGAGCTGACCTGGAATTACTGCTAAAACACTGGCTGCTTATCCCAAACCTGGAATAATTCTTACACGCTGGCTGCTTATCCCAAACCTGGAATTACTGTTAAACACTAATTATCCAAACCCTAAAATCACTGTTACCCATTGGCTGCTTATCCCAAAGCTGGAATAACTGTTACACAGATTCCTTATCCCAAAGCTGGAATAACTGTTACACAGACTCCTTATCCCAAACCTGGAATAACT